CAGGAGACAGGAATCTTTCTGTCACAGCAACATCGTTGCTGTTTCTGTTAACTTTTTATCTTAAACATAGTATCCATTGTCCTTATTACTGCATTCTTGACCTAGTTGTGGTTGAGTGGTGGAGTAATATTTTTTTCTCACCTACATGTGGAAGTGCTGACTGCTGTAGTTTCAAGTCAATACATGATCTTAGAAAGAGGCTGTCAAACACAGTGAACCAGAAGTCTCCAATAAAGAGAAGTTTAAGTTAATCAGATTGAATACTGGTTGAATATATAAAAAACAAATACCAGAACCTTGAAATACTAAATTCGGCAGAGCATATCTACTTGTTTCAGGTCACAGCTGCTTGGTTTTTGCCCTTATTAGTTAAATTTTGGGTTTTCATCTAATTTCTGATGTAAAGCTTGTGTTCTTATCTAGACTGCAAAAGAACAGCACTTGCAGCCAGCTCAGGATATCACCTCATCACATAATTTTCAAATGGCATGTATACACAGGGTTTTGATAAATCAACAATAGCCTATGTCTCCCTCAATGCCTACTGCTTGTTCTTAAATGGAATGTGTTGTCCTTCTGGTTATATTTAACAGCAAATTCATACCTGGTGCTAAAATAATTGGAGATTCTTTGTGTTCTCAGCATCAGGGGAGTTATATTATACTGGACAGAAGCTATAGGGGAAAGGAGACTGAAATATGGAGGCCCCACATCTGAACAGGGTCTTCTGTGTTTTTATTCCATATTTATCTCTAATTCATTGTCTTAAGTGTGTATGAAATAATAGGCAGGTAATATAGTGTCAACATTCCACCTAAGTGAAAATGAAAAATGCACTGTAATGCTTCAGGCAGTTATAAGTACACTTTGGGCTCTACATAGGTAGCCCATAGTCTAATAAACCTCAACTGGGACATGTTTCAATAATTGAAACCTCTCAGTATCTTCAACAATCAACCAGTACTAAATAAAAATAAGCCTGCAAGAGTTCCATTTCCTTCTTTATTCTCAGATAAAATCAGCTACAACTGTCCTAATTTGAGGTACTGAACAAGAAGTATTTGGTCCTGAAGAGAGAAACAGGCAGGTATAAATTGCTTTTGTCTCCTGATCCCTCTGTAGACTAGGGAAATTCCAAGCTTTCCTTCTTTGGAAACCTTGGAAAGTCCTTAAGCAGATATTTATAGTGACTTTTTTATCTGCAGGAAAATTGTGATCTTTAGATTTGTAAAAGATACATTTTTTAGGACTTCTTCCTTCTGAGGCTAGAGTGGTTGAACTCAAAGCAGACTATACAAATTAGATAGTTATTAAACAGTTTTCTCTGTAAAGCACATAAATTTTATCAAACAGAAATTACATATGGAGAACTCATGGTTGCACAAGAAAAGGCTTGCTTGGCATGCAGCTAGCTGGCTGACCAAAAGCTCAGACATTCTTGTGCCTTATTGCACCAAAGTATGTTTCCTTGTAAGTGTTACACGTAATTTTTTTCTGCTAGAGCTGGACCTTGAAGCAAAACAAGGCCTAAGAAAAGCTTAGGATATGCACAAATTTCACTGTTCTTCCTCTGTAGCCAATGAGAATGGAATATCCTAAAACATCTCTTATGTTAGTGAAAATTAGGCATTTTTATTCTCAGTCCAGTCAAGTCTACCTTGCCTGTTCCTGATATTAACTTTACAAAAAACTTTCTACTGTTTTTATTCTCTTAATTCTACCCTTGGATGCTGCTTTGTTCTTTGTAGAAACATTCCACCTTGGCAAATCTGCAGCCACTGCTTTACTGGGATATAGCCTGCTATACTTTGCTGGCCCTACACAGATGAAGTAGAGCAATGCAATTACTGTAAGGGACCATTTGTCAGAGGTTCCTGGCAGTTTCACCTTCCTAATCTTGGATTTTCTGTGGCTCATTTAAAAAAAAAAAAAAAAAAAAAAATTACTTTGTAATCAACACCTGACTACAATCTTGAACACTGTGCTAATTAGGAGCATAATTGAAAAGGTCAGGAAATCTCTAGACAGGAACAAAATGTAAAATTAAAGGCAAAAATTAGGCTTGGGGGTACAAGAAGGGCTGGAATGGAGTAGAAAAGCTTATTGCAGTAATTTAACATACTTCTCAAAGTCCACATGCTGAAAAGTCACTTCTGACCTTAGTTTGTACACCTAGGGGACTAATTTAATGCAGTTTTTCATGCCACATTAAATAGCTGCTGTGTATAGCACTGATAATTTTGCAGGAAAATAAACCTGCTCTTTTACTGTGATTTTGGCATATGGCAGTAGTCCTTTTTTCTTCCTCTTCTGACAAGTTTGGAGTGACTCTGATTTTTGGAGACGTTGTTAAAAATGTGCCTTTGTTCTGCAAAACCACTGAATTAAAAATTAATATGGCCTCAAGCAGTCAAACTATATTTCCTCCTATGCAACATAGCAACAAAACTGTTTATCCTATTTCACTGTATAATCATTATGGTTTTGCACTCATGTTCATTTTTGGCTCCGATTTCTTCTTCGATACCTAGGTGGAAACTAGTGCTTGCCTTAGAAAAAGGCTAAGGAGTTTTAGAAGCTATGAGTGAGAAGCTGGCTACAAGTTGGACTACTTTTGTCTTTTAAAATGTGGTCAACAACCTGGAGATTGCCTGTGTAAAAACAAAACCCAGAAATTAATATTATTCTATTTCACTAATTTTAATTTGATCTGTGTCTGAAGACAGTATCTGTTATCAGCATTCCAAGGATGTTACTCCATTACTGCCTGAAAATACCCTCAATTCCTCCCATGCTTTGAGTAGAGCATTAAAAAGCTAAGCCTTGTTTTGCTGCCTGCAGAAGCATTGTGAAAGGTAATGAAAGAAGCAAGAGGCTCCAGGTGCTAATATTGCCAGCATCTTAAACTATTTTAAAAAGGTCCACTGAGTGAATTAAAATCAAAGGCTAAAGGCTTTGCGGGTGGATGATCACACTATGTGGCTCTTGAAAGGCAGTGCATTGCTTTTAGGTCAAAATATGCACATGACAGAAGGATAGGTATCAGAAGGCTGTTCTGCAGCATTCTAGGCTTCATTCTCTGTATATTCCATGGTCACCGATCAAATAGATGACTAACATTTTTAGACTGATTTCAAATGTACAGGAAAATGTTGGCTTTATGAATAGTAAAATTCAAATTGACTTAATGGCACCAGGATTTTGTTCATTGTCTTTGAGAACTTTCTGCTACCACCTTGAATCTTGAGACATGAAATAAATGTGTTCGTCCCTGGTCTAGCACTCCATCAATAGCAGACTGACCCTGACAGGTGTAGCACAGGGAGGAAAGAGCTTTCATAAAGACTAAACAGGACAGCTTGAAACCTTCAGGAAATCAAACAACCTGAAAAAAGCATTTAATAGTAAAAAATAGTTACTGTTTTTAGAGAGGAAAAAATCCTGTATTTTAAGATTCACGCTGAAGTTTAGTTTCAAATGTGGAATCAACTGCTAATAATCCTGTAAGTTAACAAGCCTTGAAATATTAATCAAACTTCATGTAAAGGCATAAAGGTTAATATTTTTGGCAAAACTGGTTGTTGGGTGGATTTATCAATTGCTGGCTCTTGAAGTTTTTATTATCCTGTTAGACTTCCCTCCTGTGTTGATGTTATTTGCAAAGTTCTCTCCTGTCTGAGGTTATGAGGCTCCAGAGAAAAACAGATAAGTTTCCATTGCACAGGGAAACAGTAGCTGTGGTTATGGACTCAGAACTGTTTTCTGTAGGGTTGCTCTCTCTCATTCTACAGAGTGTGAGAGGAGGCAGAGCCAGTGGAGCAGAGAGATGCACTAACATCTGCCAGGGAAGGGAGATGAAAAGCCTCACCACTGGTGTGAGAAAACACTAGAGACCATATGTAGCTCTTTTACTATCCTCCTGAGAGGACTGAAGAACTTTCTCCCTCTGGCTTTTTACAATAAGTTGAGAGTAGATGTGAAGGTTTTGTAGTGATGTCCTGACTAGCTCCTTATACACAGAATGCCCTGAAAATGCAGCCATTGTGGGACATGAAGGGGCAGTAGAGAAAGTTTTTTAATTGAGCATTCAAGAGTAAATTCTTAAAGGTATATATGCCTGTATGATTTTTCATATGAAAATTGATATGACCATCCATATTAAGGTGCAAAAAGTTGCAGTGCTACTGCTTGCAGTGCTACTGCAGCTGTTAACCTTCCTCATGTGCAGGTGTGCTGCTTCTGGCTGAATGCAGTTGGATATATTCACTGTGAATTTGATACTTGCATGGGAACCCTAGAGGACAATACTTTGATCAATTTCAATAATACACACAAGTATAAATAACTGTAAGGAATACAAGTTTTACTATACTAGCTTAAAGTGCTTTATCTCCATCTGTGAGATACTGTCTCTGGGGAAGCAGCATAATTTTAGTAGTGGCCTTTCCTAAGCTAATATGTTGCATAATAGCGTAACCACACTAATACAGTTCTGTCATTCTACATTTGTTTGGACTGCACTGGTGTTTACCACTGTCACTTAGTAAAGAGTTAAATTACACTTTGTTTCATAGAAAGTCATGAGGTTATTCCTTGGTTAAAACAATTTTCTATTACTACTTTTGATTATATTTTACCGATTGAATTGAAATGAGAAACTCTATCCCTGCTTGTGGCAAAAGCAGAAAGATGAGATGAGTCTTCTGACCAGTGTTAAATAATTGAATCATGGAAATGAGGCATGACAGAGACCTGGAGAGATGCAGTACTATAGCTCATACCCTTGTGCTGATGGAAACTTGAATATGCTTATTCCATCACTAACAGATAAGAATTTTATATGCATAGTTATACAGCTATGCTATAGCACTCCTATTCTAACTGGTAGTATTTCAAAGCAACTTTGCATGAGGGCGAATGACTACCCAAGGCTGAAGAGAAGTCGAGCTGTAACTGCTAGTAATTCTAAGGGGGAAAGTGCACATCCAAGTTTGTTCTAACTGCTCTCTTTCTTCTCCCAGAGACAAGGAACCGGAGCTACAAATGGAAAAGACAAGACGTCTGGTGAGAATGGTAAGGGTAGATTATATTTCTTGCTGGAGATTATTGATCTAAATTGCTTTCCATTATCAACTTTTTTTACTTTAATTGCAGTTGTCAGACAGCAAGAGCCTTGGCTTGATCTCTTACCTCTTGTATCTCTTTGAAAAAGAAGGGCTTCAGTTTATATGTTCAAACCATATACTAGGCAGAAACCTTGAATATGAGCTCATTAAGGTGAGCTCGAGGACTCTACAGTGTCAAAGCAAATGAGGCTGGAACAAGACATGCGATGTTTAGAATGTGTGAGAAAAGGGTATAAGACTTAAATATTGAGCTAGATCATGTATAGCTGCTATGTGAATGGGGAAGGTGAATAAAGGTAAACTAATTACAAAGCTCTTTCTCATAAGCATAGTCTGTGTCTTGACCCATCCTACTTTATTTTAGGTGTCTGAGATACCAAAGTTAGGAGCCACTTCCACAGAACTCATTCACTAGTTGGTTGAGATAGTGACTAAGATTTCAGGCAGGCTGATCCCTTCCTTTCCTCCACTAAATAAATAGATGGGGGTTCCAAATAGAGTACTCTTAGTGGTGGAAATGTGTAAAACATGTAATCTGACCTGCTGCCTCTTTTCCAGAAGAATAGCCCGTGTCACAGGATACCTGCTTCTGTGCATTGCAAAACCAGGGCATCAACTGTGCTTTCTGCCTTCACTCTGGTGCCATTCACTTTCTCTAATGGATAGAGTAAAAGTTTCTGGTTTGGGAGCAGCTTTCAGGGAAAGATCCTGTGGCAAATAAGCTCCTAGCTCTGCCACTCCATATAGGTGGTGTGAATGCTCCACTCCTGAACTCATGCTCTACTATTCTAAAGTGTGAATCATTGCTTTTTTTGTCCCTCCCAGGGAGTATGGACCCTAACAAAGTGGCAGGCAGGAGCCAATTTCTGCTCCTTGAAAGACATAGACCAATTATAATGGGAAAGTCTTGATTTTTTCCAGAGAAAGAAGCTAAACTGAACTTTCAGGAAAACTACAATTATTTTGTAGCTGACACTTCACTTCCCTCTTATAGGAGGTAAAAACACTTTACACACAAATGATCATTGGATTAGAATCCCATTACCATGGGAAACAGTTTTCAAAGGAAAACATTTTGATCAGTTTTAATTATAGACCAGCTGAAAGTGAGGCAGTATCTGTTTGTAGACATTCATAAACAGGATAAGGATTGGACTATGAATATATGCTGTCTTCTGTTTGATCATCCAGTTCTAATCAAAATTTGTTCTTGTAGTCCATCTTGTCTAGTGAAAAGCAGGAAAAACGTAAGTCTTTTTGACTGAAAAGTCCAGAGCCAGGTTTTTAGAGATGAGATTTGAACAGTTGTTTTGGACATACATTTTAGCCTTTGTGTTGGTCTGAACAGAATCTTTGGGCCCTCTGAGGCAACACATCCGAGGACATTAAAGGACATCTTTATGCTTAGCTTAGTTGTTAGAGGTGTCTGTCTTATCAGGGTTGTTGGCATAATGTTGTTAGGAACAGTCTTAATTTCCTTTACTATATGATAAAACACAGTAGAAAAATATTCTGGCTTGTTAGTGTCTTGAATTAGTGGGAACAAATGTATCCTGACAGCAAAGCCGTTTGCATCTTCAAGTTAAACAAAAAAGGAAAGCAAGCAAAATTATGCCAGCCATTCTTTGGCAGCTGGAAAGCATTTTTTCTTTACTATTTGAGCACACTATAAACTGAGCTCATTTACCTTGCAGATCATCACAAATATAATTGTCCTGTTGTCAAATTTAGCTTAGACTTTCTGATCATGCAGCCTTTTTAGAAACAACTTCTGCTTTTTTCTCAAAGGGAATTCTGACTGAGAAAAGGCTGCATCATTAATTCAGAAATACATGTTTCTGGTTAGTTGTGGCATGCTTCTATCTATACTACAAGCAAATGGATACCCATTTTATTATACAGACAGATGTCAATTATAGGTGTCAATCAAACTTTCAACCTGACATTGAATTCTAAATCAGAGGCAGAAAACACACAGCTTTTTTCCTTATTAGCTGTGTTCAGTTAGAAGTTGAGCACAAGCAATTTATGCCTCTGGAAAGTGGGATGTACTATAAACTTGCATACACACACAGTATAGATCTTCCATAACATGTAGACTTCTCACCAAAAACAATATGTCAATGTCTTAAATTTGCATTGTGGCTGTTACTATCAGTGAATTCTAATGTTTATGTTCCTGTCAAATTGAAGCTTTCCCTCTCCTAGGAGGGGAGGAAAAACCCAAACCAAAACTACTTTCATTTTAGTGTGAAAAAGGAGTTGTGCTATGAAAACAGAAACAAAGCTTCTCCCTGCAAACTGGTTGCTACCCTTGCTCTTGGTCATAAAATCAGGAAGAGCTGCTAAAAATTAGCCTTCTATAACAACTGAAAGATGCTCAGTAGTTTTCTGGATTTTTGATTTGCATGGTGGGGACACTGCTGTGGGTGGAGTGTTTTGCTTGTGAATCGTTTGTGAAAAAGGAATTTTGGGCCTACCTCTAAGCTGGCTAAACAAATGGAGGAAAAAACTGACCCTCACAATCAGCACTCTCCCTCTCAAGACATGGATGGCATTGCTGTCACTGTAAAGCATTCGGGGAAATTCAGTCTCTGAAGACTCCTTTTATAGTAGTGGTAGACACTTACGAAGGCATGTTCTTTTTTGACCTTCATTAGATAGCAACATGATATCCTTAGTCAAGTGTATCTGTTACCACCACAACAGTGGCCTAGCTTAGTCTTGCTTCTAGTGAAGGATTTCATCACACAAGTGTGTGGACAGTCCCAAGTTCTCCTGAACTGGCCCTGCCTTGTCCTAGTGCTTTGCTCTTTGGCTCAAGGAGATGAGCAATGGCAGAGACTGAGCTTCAGAAAAGCCTGTCGTGCATTAGGCATGCTGTACAGCCTGAGATAATGTATGTACAGCAGTGATAAGCCAGAGTGTGAGAGCTTGTGATGATGGGAGGGGGAAAAAATCCAATACACAAACTGTACTGGTTATTGTGTAGATGAATAGACTACCTGCACAGTGCCATTATTCATCAATGGGTATCTTCCTTAACTGCCGCCTTGAATACTCTTCCAGACTGCTAGGTGGGAGAGTGGAGGGAGAAAGTTCACTCCTTTCCTCTTTCAGAGCATTGGGTGTTAGCAGACAGGATTATCTTCCAGAATATTTCATATGATACACAGCAGCATATCCTGTTTTTGTTCAGGAAAAAGCCCATGGTTCTTGAAGCTGTATCTGTGTTATAAATAGTGAACAATCACCAGGTCATAGTCACTCACACTGAGGTTAACAGCAAAGCTCTCAATGACTTCCTTGGATGCTGGTCAAGCCTCAAATGACATTTGTCTATCTTGACCTTTTAAACTGTAACCTGTTCTTTTACAGGTTATGATTAAAACCAGATGATAGTTCAAGCCTTCCTAAGGAAGGAGGACTATTGCATTACAATGTGCTATTGTGATACATCAGTTGCCTGATGAAGAGGCTGCTGAGGTCAATGGAAAAGCTCCTGATAGTGTCAGTGGGTCCAGTATATTGCCAAGTGGCCTTTCCATCCAATGTGTACTGAGCTGCTGTCGGGGGAGCCTGTGCAATTTCATTCTGATGTCAGTAGGAGAAACATAGATGAGTTTTCCTGGGAGCAAACTAGTCAAAGGAGTACTAAAGAAACCACCTCACTATATTGTAATTGGCAATGATGCTATCTGTGCAAAAGTGGCTGCATAAAAGCAACTTTTATGTTTATGCAAAACCATTCATTTTCATTTCATGTAATGCACACAGCATTGGCAATGGGAAAATGCAAATCAAGTCCAGTCTCGGCTAGAAAGAAACTTGGGAAGCCTAGCAAAGAACTGGCGGAGGGAGACATTTTTAAAGGGGAGCTTTGCAGGAGAAGTTGGTAAAGGTATTGTTTCATGTTGTCCTTCCAGTTATCTTCTCCAGCAAAATTTTAATGGCATCTCTGCTATAGCATAATGCTCTTCTCTATAGTAGAAAATCCAAAGGGAACACAGCAATACTATTTCTACATCCCTCCCCCTTCATATAAATCTGACTCAGTGGCATGGAGTTGGCATGGGATAAGAAGGTATAATTTCCTTTTTGCTCACCTGTTTTTATTAATTTTGCCCATCACTACATGCACCCTACACAAAAGCAGGAGCCAAAGAAGTGTTAGTTATTCTCCATGTGCATACCCTTCCTATTCTTACTATTTTGACAATGTCACAAAGTTTCTTAAGTTAACACTTGTCACTTCTCACTGTTTCATGTTGTCCCATGTTTTTCCTGAGTAATTTACAAGCTGGTATCATACAACCAGCTCTTTACAGCCTAGCACATCTTGCAGGGAAATAATTGCATCAGAGCCAATTATTTCTGTCTTCAAATTTAGAAGCATCCTTTTTCCTGTAAATAGATCTCTCACTCTTTGGGAAGTATATAACGTATGTGATTATTAGTTGATGTGTTTGACTTATTCTCTCAATATCAGATCTACCATTCAGCATTATGAATATTTGTAAAATGTATATATTTTCATTTGAATTCTATAAGTTTCTGGCTCTACATGAAATGAAAATGAAAGGTTTTGCATAAACTTGCATGGTATGGTAGAGTAGGCCCACCCAGTAAAGACAAGATGGTCAATTGTACTTAAAGGGGAGTCATTCCTTTCAGTTTCTGCTCCCTGCTCTTCAGTGTTTATCCTGTACCTATATGAGCTCTGCTTTAGGGTAATCAGGAAAGTATAAATGACTAAATGCTCTGGATTTTCTCCTCTCCGTAGGATATTTCATGGGACAGCTTTACTTGAGAATGTACTTTATGAACTCTATTTATCCTCTTTTCATCTAAAATGGAGTAGTCTGAACTCGCTTAAATCTGAATGCTTCTGGAAGGCATCTACAGTAAGCGTAAAGACATTGCCATGCTGTATTCATCATGTATGTT